CGTTGTATTGACCGCCTCTGATGTTGCGGTTGATGGGTTCTGTGTTAATCGGTGTGGAACTCACGGGGCTTCTAAGGGTGCTGTGATTAAGGGGAAAACTTATAAATTTGCTTATATTTGGGTGGGTAACTCAGAGACTCTGTGTCCTGGCTACTGCGCCTGGCCATTCCACCAGCCCATCTACGGACCACAGACCCCACCATTGGGTGCACCAAACAACGATGTGGGTGTTGACGGTATGGTGATCAACTTAGCTAGCTTATTAGCTGGAACCGCTACAAACCCATTTGGAAACGGTTACTACCAGGGCGAAGCAGATGCGCCATTGGAAGCTGCATCTGCATGCCCTGGTGTGTACGCTAAGGGCGCATACCCAGGCTATCCCGGAGATTTATTGGTGGACAAAACTACAGGAGCAAGCTACAATGCGCATGGTACAAATGGAAGGAAATACTTGGTTCCTGCTTTGTATGATCCTGTTACATTTACATGCACCACTTTGGTCTAGAAAATTAGTGCACTAATTTTGTAACTATTGATTCATTCATTCATTGTTCTGTTATGCAATATCCGAATATTTACAATCACAAGAGTATAATACTATATTAATCAATATCCAATCCCAAATTATAACATAAATTTTACTGTTTTTTATTTTTTACTTCACGTACAAACATGGGAAGAAACAAATAAACATTCAAACTATTTGTTATGAATACATCGGATTGAATGCCATACTTTAGAAATCGTAATTTTTTTCTAAAACAGATGAACACTATTATTTTTTGTACTGTAAAGTGATAGCAATCAATGTGATGATAAATAGGATAATAATTACAAAAGAAGTACTCTAGTAGATGTATAAACAAATTCGCCGAAATTCAGCTCCTAGTTAAATGCTTTACATTATTTAGGGAGTTAAGGCCGACTAGTAAAGTCCCTAACGAATTAGGTGCGCCTAAGAAAATTATAGAGGAAATATATTAGCTCCGGTGGTTGGCTATTAAAATATTTATCTTAATTAGTTAGTTTCCTTTCCTAATCTCCATATCCCTGACCTTTTTTTAAAAAAATACATAAAAGAAAAAAATCCAAGCAACTTATAAGGATATTGTATATGTAAAATTTAGAAACGTTTTGGCGATAAGCCATATAGTTTGGGTATAAATAGGCCGGTAAAAGACGAGTAGGCAAGCACACAGGTTGTATCAGTCAGCTTTTAACTGCCCAGTGGCGATAAGCAAGTTAAAGACGAGTAGACAAGACGTTAAGCTAGTGTCAATGGAATACGTAAACAATAACATATCACATGATTTTATACCGGTCAACTTTGAGCCATCGAGAAGCCAATGATTTAGTGGGCTCTATCGACAAGTCGCAAAAGAATATTATTATAGACATGTACCCTGTTCCAATTACTCTAAAATTGAAAAACTTAAATAATTCTTCTTTTTTTTCATTCATTTTTATTTGTCCATATTAGATTTTGCATATATAAAGTGAATATTTTATTGTAATACTCATTATAATTGGTGTCTTTTTTTTGACTTAAAAATGTGATTCAGAATAAATTCTTTTAATATGCTATAATGATCAAGTAAAAGTGGACGATGAAAAAAATGCGTGCTACCGGCAATCTTGCATAAGAGATGGAAGAGGTAGTAACTAGAAATCTGGCATATGTCCCTTTCATCCCAACTATTAGGTAGCGCACAATGATGAGAGATGGGGGATTGTCGCTATTGCAATCAATGCTAATATTAATTCACACCCTACTCATCCCATTTAGATTTTCAACATGTAATTAAGTTATTTGCCTGTTCGTTGTGTATTCATAAGAGTTAATTATTCTTCTCCTCTTCGGTATTAACTTGCTACGCATCTCAAAATAATTAATAATAAGATTAATATTACTATATTATCACTCTTTGAATATTATATATGAGTTTGTTTTTTTATATTAGACAATTTATTTTTTATATAATAGATAAGTAAAGAAACAAAGATAAAAATTTGGGGGATTCTTTACCATTGGTGTGTAGTATTTAAAATTTATGAGATTTGAAACTTATTTTACATAAAATTTGAATCAAAGTTACTGACTACTCTCCTATCCGTCCTAGTACTTATGATTTGTCACGTGCACATACCTCATTTGTTTCCATATATATATATATATGTACACTAAATACTTAGGACGGAGCTAGATTAGGTTAAGATGGTTCAATTGAATCTTGTTTATGAAAGACAAAAATAACTCTTTAGTATTTTAGTACTCCCTCTGTTTAAAAAAAAGATATTCCTATTTCTTTTTTAGTTTGTTTAAAAAAGAATGATTCCTTTTTTTTTAGGGAAAAGGGTCAAATATGCCCCTAAACTATTTGAAAAGGTTTAGATATAGCCTCCGTTTAAAGTTTGGTCCATTTATACCCTTGCCGTCCAACTTTTGGTCTACATATGCCCTTTTGGGTGTTAGTTGGCCAACTCGGAATATCCAACTCATTTTACTTTTATTTAAATGCCAAATGGATTTTCCACGTCATTTTTATGT